CTGGGGACTGTCAGACCCTGTCATCTTGCTGCCTGTTGGTGACCCACCCTGCTGTTTGCTGCCTGTGGCTGGACTATTGCTCTATAGACGACTCAGCTGTCTGCTTCCTTCCCTTGAACCCAGCAGCCCTCGTGAGTTGAAGGACTGCCAGTGTATTAACTGTCTCATCGAAGTGAGTTGAACTGATCCCTCTGTACTGCTCTGTGGACTAATTAGCTGTTTATTTCTTCATGTTGTGTGTGTGTCTGTCTGTTTATCTATCTATCTATCTATCTATCTATCTATCTATCTATCTATCTATCTATCTATCTATCATCTATCTATCTATCTAAAATCATAAGTGCCCTGGTTTTGTTTCTCTAGAAAGCCCTGCCTAATACAAATACTAAAGTGTGCTTGATCCAAAACATAGTATTCTCAATTGCCTTATGTGTGAAAAGTGGAATCATTGCATTTGAATGATGGTGCCGGAGAAGGATACTGAAAGTACCATGGATTGCCGAGAGAACAAACACATCTGTCTTGGAAGAAGTAGAACCAGAATGCTCCTTAAAGGCAAGGATGGTGAGACATTATCTCCAGTACTTTGTCGTCGGGGGAGACCGGCCTCGGGAGAAGGACATTGTGCTTAGTAATGTAGAGTGGCAGCAAAGAACAGGAGGAACACTTTCGACAAGCTGAATTTAGACAACACAACAATGGGCTCAAGCAGAGAACAATGGTGAGATGGCACAGGAGCCGGCAGTGTTTTGTTTCGCTGTGTTTGCTGTGAGGATTGCTGGGAGTTGGAACTGACTTGATGGCATCTGACAATAATAACAAGAACAATTAGTCTTATCACCCAGGATTCTGTGGTTGCCATTCTAGCCTCTCTGTTGTGGAGTTGGTTCATTTGCTTTGCTTCTGACTGTGAAAGTGCTGCTGTCTGCCATGTAGAACCCCATCATTTCCACTGATGCCATGTGCCCAATGCCATGCTGTCAGCCCCGCCTACACCATCAGCGTGCATTTCTAGCACACTGGTGTGCACGCCTGACTCGTGCATTCCTTCTCGCTTTACTGTTGGGATGCTGATCTTCCCCAGGAACGGAGTCTAGTGGTATCATGTCATAAATGTCATGTCATAGAGTGGCCTAAGGCCCATCTTCGCCTGTGTCCTCTGACGCTTTCCTCAAGCACAGTGCCACAGATGTCCTGCA